AAATACTTGACCATTTAATAAATCAATATTATTTATATTCATAATTACATCTAAATCTTTATAACTATTTAAAATAACATCTAAATTAGTTAAATTATTATTTAAAATTATATTAAAATATTCTCCTACTATATTTGTATTCTTATTTTCTATTAATTTTAATATTTTACTATTTAAATCTTGTAATATTGTTAAATCACTTGTCATTTGATAATATTGTATTTTAGATTCTACATGTAAACAATCACTTAAATTTTTACATCCTAATTCTTGTGCTTTTTTAGAACATTGTTCTAATTCGGATGATTGTTTATAATCATTTTGTGATCTTGCCAATGTTAATTCACGTATTATAACTTGTGATTGTAATTGTACAAGCTTTTTAGACATTTTTTTTTTATTGTTATTGTTGTTCATCCGTTGGGCGCTTCTATTATATGATGATGACACCAACAACAATAACAATAAAATTTTATTAGCCTATGGACCAAGATTCACAGGAGAAGGCTTTGGATGACGAAAAGAGAAATAGAATGCGTGAAGAACAAATGTTTGCAAACAGTGTGGAAAGGCCAGGCTTCAAAATAAGAATATTGGAGCAAAAGTAATCTTCATCATGCTAACAAAGAAAATGATTAAATCACATCTGACGTCATTTTCATCATCAAATGCTCCTATTAATTAATTGTTAATAGCAATAATATCTTAATATTCAAAAGTTTTATTTAGATCCATTATTATCATCATCTCCATCATTAAATAATAATTCAAAAAAATAATAATTTAAATAATTGTGGATTAATAATTGAAAATATATGTTCATCTAATTTATTAATTTAACCTATAAACAAGTCAATTAATTGGTTGACTACTCTTAAAAGTAAACTATTCCTATATCTTTTACAATTCTCTTCAGCAATAGATTATTCTTGTTGGCTTGTTTAAAAATCTCATAAAAATCATGACAAGAAATTGCAAAATTGAAAAGAGTTTTCACATTTCCAATAAACTCTAAAATACAATAAATCATGTCATGACTATTTACAAGTGGACTTAAATTGATGAATGGACTTTCAGTATGATCAATAATTGAATCAATAGAATACAACATTTTCCTAAAGGCATCCAATAAATTATCATCCCATTCAATATTACAAGTTTCTCTCTTAATAATTTCAATGAGATGTTGTTTTCTATCCTCCTCTTTATCATCCTCAGAGGAATATTTAGTCTTTTTAGAAGGTGGATATGATAACTCATTATCATTCTCATTCTCATTATTATCATTCTCATCATTACTCAAATAATCCTTGTAATGTTCTCCCAATACATTAACTAAAACTCTATCATTCACATAACAATCAAATTCACACAATTCCAAATATCTTGTCAAGTAAATTGGATGAACATTATTCATTAGTGAATTAATTTGTTCAAAGGGTCTAACATTCTGATACTCTGCAAAACATGCATCATTAAATTGTATTGTTCGTTTTTCTCCTGAAAACATTAAAATTTTAGTTTTATCACTCAGAGTAAATAAAACTAAATGATCATCAAATTCGGAAATGGGAAATCCCCTCATAGCATAAAAAGGTTGTTTATATGAAACGTGAGGAAGAGAGCAAACTAATTCTTCCAAATTTAAATTGTTAATAGAGGAAATTTCAATATTAGAAAGAGCTTTTTCTAGCATGGAAAAATTGATAATGTAAAAATTGTGCATGATCACCATACGTGTTCTGGCCATTTTTTTTTTTAATTCGTAATGTTAATTCCTTTCTTTACTGGAACTAAATAGTATTCTATTTGAATGTTGAAATGGTTTATAATATTACAATGCAAATTGGTATAAACCTATTGATTCATTTCTTAATATCAATGACCTTATGTTATTTCATTAGATGAAACTGTCAATGTCCTTAATTCTTAATAAGTAAACTATCAAAAGGAAAGATTTACCTTTCCACTCTTACAATGAAACTGTAGAAATACTGTTTCTCCATTGGGTTGATTGGCATAATGAGGATGATTAAGTTTCGATTGAAATATGACAAGATTTTTTAATATACCCTATTACAATGGATTTAATGAAGAAATCATTAAACGGTAACAAATAAGATTTTAAAAAGATATTCCAACAAGATATTTAGAATAGATATTTATCATTCAATAATAATTTATAAATCATCTCATTTTCTCCACTAATATTATTGAATATTATAGTGTTTTAAGAGTNGGTGTATGGAGTAATAA